AGTCACGGGTTTTTTTTTATGTGAAATATAAGAATAAAAAAGTCAGATACTTTAATCTGAAGACTATATAATTTATGTGTTAAAAAAGGTCAGAAGGTAAGGGCACAAGTCAATATTACAGTAACAAATTTGAAATTATTCTAAAACCAATATAGATAAGCACACCACGCCCTGAATTTATTATCCCGAGACAGGTAATTTATGAACATTACTGATACCTACATGTAAAGTTAATTAACAATACAGTTATGTTCAACTTCAATTCTTTATTCGCTCAAAACCAGATCACTGGTGCAAGAGGTACATATATACATATTCACAAACAAAAATTACAGTCAAAGGTCAACAAAAAGACAATTATATAAAGAAAAACGAAAAGAGTGAGAAAAACATATTGCTCAGGAAATCAATAACGAATATATTATCAATAGTAGGATAACTTTTTCTAAACTCTGTTCGAGTTTCATTGATAAGCTCTACCTCATCAGCAAAAGTATTTAAACGGTCACAGAGTATACTAGTAAAAAGTTTTCTAAAGAACTAAGTAAAGTAATTGGTCTGTAATTTTCAGGATGTCTTCTGTCACCTTTACCCTTATAAATTTGTTTAACTAACCCAGCTAACCAGCCCTCTGGTATTATGCCACTATCAAAAATCACGTTGATTAATTCTACATATAGCGGCAGAAAGCTTGAAATAGTTGTTTTCATATAGTAATAATACTCATTCAAAACATAATCACCCCCTGGTGTTTTATCGGTTATTAACTTCTTTACTGCATTTTTTATTTCTTCACATGTGATAGACTGATTATGAAAACTATCATTACTTAAGTCTACATTAATATCCATGTCATTATCTGGGACAATACTTTCCTTTGTTTTCTTTATTACGTATAGGTATAGTGGGATTCTATTAAAAAATAGTCAAGATATAGGTACAGTGGGATTCTATTATAGATAGTCAAGATATAGGTACAGTGGGATTCTATTACAGATAGTCATGAAATAGGTACAGTGGTATTCTATTACAGTCATGATATAGGTACAGTGGGATTCTATTACAGATAGTCATGATATAGGTACAGTGGGATTCTATTAACGATAGTCAAGATATAGGTACAGTGGGATTCTATTACAGATAGTCATGATATAGATACAGTGGGATTCTATAATAGGTAGTCATGATATAGGTACAGTGGGATTCTATTACAGGTAGTCATGGTATAGGTACAGTGAGATTCTACTACAGATAGTCATGATATAGGTGCAGTGGGATTCTATGACAGTCATGATATAGGTACAGTGGGATTCTATAATAGGTAGTCATGATATAGGTACAGTGGGATTCTATTACAGATAGTCATGATATAGGTACAGTGGGATTCTACTACAGGTAGTCATGATATGGGTGAGTGGGATTCTGTGACAGATTGTCATGATATAGGTGCAGTGTGATTCTGTGACAGATTGTCATGATATAGGTACAGTGGGATTCTATGACAGATTGTCATGATATAGGTAGAGTGGGATTCTGTGACAGATTGTCATGATATATGTACAGTGGGATTCTTTTATAGATAGTTATGATATAGGTAGAGAGGGCTTCTATAACAGATAGTTATGATAATGGTAGAGTGGGATTCTATTTAAAATAGTAATCATATAGGTACAGTGGGATTCTACTACAGATTGTCATGATATAGGTGCAGTGGGATTCTATGACAGATTGTCATGATATAGGTACAGTGGGATTCTATGACAGATTGTCATGATATAGGTACAGTGGGATTCTGTGACAGATTGTCATGATATAGGTACAGTGGGATTCTATGACAGATTGTCATGATATAGGTACAGTGGGATTCTGTGACAGATTGTCATGATATAGGTACCGTGGGATTCTTTTATAGATAGTTATGATATAGGTAGAGAGGGATTCTATAACAGATAGTTATGATATAGGTAGAGTGGGATTCTATTACAGATTGTCATGATATAGGTACAGTGGGATTCTATTACAGATAGTTATGATATAGGTACAGTAAGATTCTGTTACAAATTGTCATGATATAGATACAGTGGGGTTCTATGACAGATTGTCATGATATAGGTACAGTGGGAATTTGTGACAGATTGTCATGATATAGGTACAGTGGGATTCTGTGACAGACTGTCATGATATAGGTACAGTGGGATTCTATTACAGATAGTTATGATATAGGTACAGTGGGATTCTATTACGGATTGTCATGATATAGGTACAGTGGGATTCTATTACAAATAGTAATCATATAGGTACAGTGGGATTCTATTACAGATTGTCATGATATAGGTACAGTGGGATTCTATGACAGATTATCATGATATAGGTACACTGGGATTTTATAACAGATAGTTATGATATAAGTAGAGTGGGATTCTGTGACAGATTGTCATGATATAGGTACAGTGGGATTCTATTACAGATAGTTATGATATAGGTACAGTGGTATTCTATTACAGATAGTCATGATATAGGTACATTCGGATTCTATTACAGATAGACATGATATAGATACAGTGGGATTCTATTACAGATTGTCATGATATAGGTACAGTAGGATTCTATGACAGATTATCAAGATATAGGTACAGTGGGATTCTATTACAGGTAGTCATGATATAGGTACAATGGGATTCTATAACAGGTAGTGATGATATAGGTACAGTGGGATTCTGTGACAGATTGTTATGATATAGGTACAGTGGGATTCTATGACAGATTGTCATGATATAGGTACAGTGGGATTCTGTGACAGATTGTCATGATATAGGTACAGTGGGATTCTTTTATAGATAGTTATGATATAGGTAGAGAGAGATTCTATAACAGATAGTTATGATATAGGTAGAGTGGGATTCTATTACAGATTGTCATGATATAGGTACAGTGGGATTCTATTACAGATAGTTATGATATAGGTACAGTAAGATTCTACTACAGATTGTCATGATATAGATACAGTGGGATTCTATGACAGATTGTCATGATATAGGTACAGTGGGATTCTGTGACAGACTGTCATGATATAGGTACAGTGGGATTCTATTACAGATAGTTATGATATAGGTACAGTGGGATTCTATTACGGATTGTCATGATATATGTACAGTGGGATTCTATTACAAATAGTAATCATATAGGTACAGTGGGATTCTATTACAGATTGTCATGATATAGGTAAAGTGGGATTCTATGACAGATTATCATGATATAGGTACAGTGGGATTTTATTACAGATAGTAATGATATAAGTAGAGTGAGATTCTGTGACAGATTGTCATGATATAGGTACAGTGGGATTCTGTGACAGATAGTTATGATATAGGTACAGTGGGATTCTATTACAGATAGTCATGATATAGGTACATTCGGATTCTATTACAGATAGTCATGATATAGATACAGTGGGATTCTATTACAGATTGTCATGATATAGGTACAGTAGGATTCTATGACGGATTATCAAGATATAGGTACAGTGGGATTCTATTACAGGTAGTCATGATATAGGTACAATGGGATTCTATAACAGGTAGTGATGATATAGGTGCAGTGGGATTCTATTACAGATTGTCATGATATAGGTACAGTGGGATTCTATTACAGATAGTTATGATATAGGTACAGTGTGTTGGTGTGGTTACCCGCAAACAACCAGTCTTGGTCTGTAATGCGTGTTCCAAGCTGGTAGAGACATGCGTTTAACCACTGCAAAGACGATTGATGTACACCAAATACAGTTGCATCTTCCTGTTGCATAGCTCTGGCTAGTGTATCATCGTTAGCCGGGTTTTGTTAGTCTTTTTTTAGAGATGTGGTATTGCAGCATCAACAATGAAATCAAATCTTAAATATGGGTTTAATAAGACTTTTTTTTTACTAAATCCAAAATATCAATGAAAATAGACCTTTGACTTACAAGAAATCATGTAAAAAACTATTTTCATAAACAGGATTAATCAAGGGAAATAATTCATAATTCAAAACTTGGGTTTTTAAAGCCCATGTTGTCCTTTAAGTAGGTCATAGGTTTTAAATGATAAAAAACGTAGTTGCTCCATATACTTCTTCAAAATTTCTATGATGAGTAAAACGATATGCATTTCTTTATTTGTTTAGCATGGAATCACCAGTTGCTATCAATAACCATTGATGCCACCCTTATTATTAGCTTTTTGACAAGAAATATACTGCGAAATCACTTGTTTTATAAGGTATTAATTTTCATTGTTTTCAAGCTATGGAGAGACCCTCGAATTCATACCACAATGAAATGTATGATTTTAAACCTGGAAATATTGACCCGAAGAAAATATGTGATTTTGAAATCATTATACCCACGTCAACTGGACTCGCCACTTTTCATTTCTTTATTTCAAGGAAAACAAGAAAACCTGTCACAAAAATATAAAACATTTGATGCATGAAAGACATTGAACAAGCATATACAATGTACCACCTGAAACACATTATAAAGATTTGCAAAAAGATGAGCAATTTAATTTGGGGGGCGAGCAGATTTAAAAAAAAAACATGTCATAAACATACACATGTATATTTTCAATCAAAAATGGCATAAAATAAAACTGTGAAATATTTGTCATTGTAAGGGTTGTACAAATTGTACAGAATTTGAATGCTGCATTTGAGAACCAAAAAGCAATCTTTTTTTTCATCTGTACTATCACAGTTTTGACAAATTCGAATGTGTTTGTATCCTGTGAAATTTGTTGTGTGAGGTTAACATTAAACAATTTTCTTTTATTTAAAATTGTTCAGCCCATCAAAGTGCAAAACACGCAAAAAATAAATGTACAATTTAATGAAGGGAATATTCCATTCAAACTTAATAAGTTTTAATAATCATATGTGTCCAAGAACAATCTTTTTCAACAGGTATTAAAAATGTTAAAAATCTTAAGCAATTTTTTTTTATTTGAGCCAATAGATAAATCAAGATGATATGCATCACAGTATCAATTCAGTGTTCTCCATTTGCTTATCTCATAACATAAAAAATGTAATATGTACATTAGAATGGAGTCAGCTGACATTCATATGGACTAGATAAGACTGTTGTGACAATAAAACAGCCCAAAATATTGTCACTTTGACATTTTTTTTTTACAATTGTTAAAATGCAAAATAGTAATAATGCAAAAATATAATAATATCAGTATATTACCTTTGTATTGCTAAAAAAATTTGCATTGTTACATACTGAAAACCAACTTTTATTTGTGAAGACTTTTTCACGATTTACCGGGGTTAAACTAGTTCGCGAAAATAAATTTTTGCGATCAAACCTTTTTGGATGTGTTGTTAAAAGACAGAGACTTTAAGGACTGGTTTGCGGCGAGAAATATTCGCGATTAAAAGACTCCCGTGAACCTCACGAAAAATTCTCGCAAGCAAAAAAAAGTTGGTTTACATACAATTTTATGGAACCATTCTTCCAAACTTCCTATCACTCAGTAATAACACACTACCCTTACATTGTGTATACAGCAACAACAGAAGAACGTTGTCCATGTAAAGCAGTACTGGGAGTCCTCTATGACAACAATGTCAACAACTTCTCCAAATATTCCCAGAATTCCACTTTTCCAAACCTTCCCAGAATTCCCTGGCTGTCAATCACTCTCGCTATCATCGTCACTTAGTTCCAGATCTTTACCTGTATATAAAGAAAGAAAATTAATTCATTCATATGCTTAAACCCGAAGGAAGCAAATTAACTTGGGGGGAGGGGGGGGCACAATCAAACATTATCAGTTAGAGGCACTATCAAGTTCAACAACCCAAAATTCCTTGAAATGCAAAATCGAAGGTCATCAGATGCTATTATTGATGGGGTTGGAGCACGAAGTAGCTTTTTTTTCAAAAGTATTTCAAAATAAGTAGGGGGGAGGGGGGGGGGCAGCTGTGTCCCTCCCTTAACCAATACAAATGGTATTCGGATCATTTCCTTGGCATTGAATAGAAAGTAAGATAAAATTACTTGCAAAGACTGAGCTTTGGTAAAAATGCAGCACAACCATGCATTACATACACTGAGTTCAACATTACTCAGAATGTTGAAGTTATGTGTTAAACTTTAAGGATTTTATTGGGGGTGGAGTGTGAGTGTGTGTGTGTGTGTGTGTGGGGGGGGGGGGGGGGGGGTTGTTTTTAACATGTGTTAAACACTTACCGGTACACATGATATATATATATATATATATATCAGAGGTTAGCTGCAGATCTGTAGCGTTATGGTTTTATATTTGTCTTTGACCATAACGCTACAGGTCCTGTAGTGCAAAAAAGGTGCAATTTACGGCGCAATATTTTTTGCGCTCTTTGGGGGAGAATTTCTTCCCTTTCTAGCATTGGTCAATCAACTACCTTTCAACTCCTTATTCTGGACACATTTTGTAGCCAATATGTATAGTTTATCCACATCCAAACCGTTCATAGTTGTGTTTACAGGCAATAAACTCGTTTGAAGTGAATTTTCAGTTATCTAAGAAATAATTTAATCAAACAAGTTCATTATTTGTATAGACGACTAAAAAGCGTTGGGAGATGGATAAAATACACAGATTAGTTGAATAATGTGTCTAGAATTAGGAGTTGAAAGGTAGTTGGTTGACCGATGCTGGAAAGTGGAGAAAAGAGCGCAAAAATATTGCGCCGTAAATTGCACTTTTTTGCATTACGGGATCTGTAGCGTTATGGTCAAAGACAAATATAAAACCATAACGCTACAGATCTGCAGCTAATCAGAGGTGAGTTGTTTTAGACTTACCCAGGATGTTGGAGGCTGGAGGGACTGACTGATAGAGAGGCTGGGTTCCAAACAGACCCTGTCCTGATTTATCTGTAACCAAATAAATCTAAAAATAACTATTACATCACACAGGTAACAGGAGGGGCTGACTGATAGAGAGGCTGGGATCCAAACAGACCCTGTCCTGATTTATCTGTAACCAAATAAAACTAAAAATAACTATTACATCACACAGGTAACAGGAGGGGCTGACTGATAGAGAGGCTGGGATCTAAACAGACCCTGTCCTGATTTATCTGTAACCAAATAAATCTAAAAATAACTATTACATCACACAGGTAACAGGAGGGGCTGACTGATAGAGAGGCTGGGATCCAAACAGACCCTGTCCTGATTTATCTGTAACCAAATAACACTAAAAATAACTATTACATCACACAGGTAACAGGAGGGACTGACTGATAGAGAGGCTGGGATCTAAACAGACCCTGTCCTGATTTATCTGTAACCAAATAACACTAAAAATAACTATTACATCACACAGGTAACAGGAGGGACTGACTGATAGAGAGGCTGGGATCCAAACAGACCCTGTCCTGATTTAACTGTAACCAAATAAAACTAAAAATAACTATTACATCATACAGGTAACAGGAGGGACTGACTGATAGAGAGGCTGGGATCTAAACAGACCCTGTCCTGATTTATCTGTAACCAAATAAAACTAAAAATAACTATTACATCACACAGGTAACAGGAGGGAATGACTGATAGAGAGGCTGGGATCCAAACAGACCCTGTCCTGATTTATCTGTAACCAAATAAAACTAAAAATAACTATTACATCACACAGGTAACCCCCAAAAAACCCTGCCTTGATTTTCTATAACGAAATAAAATCTCCACATCAGAGAACAATCTAAAAATAACAATTCCATCTTACCGGTAACCCCCCCCCCCAAAAAAAAAACTGTGTTTCCCCCTTTTGATTTGTTTAATTTTTTTCTTCAGATACTGAAAGATTATTTTGATTTGAAGGTGGACACTTGACAAATGAAAAAAAAACCTTGAAGAGGTTCAGGATGAGACACAGATGATCTGTAATCAATCCAGAAAACTGGTTGGGTTGATATATTGGGTAGGGCTGGGCAAATATATCGATATTTCAATATATTGCAATACAATGACAAAAAATATCGTATCGCAATACGATTTTGAAATATCGATATATTGGCAATATGCTTAGGTTAAGGAATTTTGTCATTAAAATGATTAAATATAAAAAAAGACTTGGGATAGCTTGTTATTAAGCCAAACAGTAAGACAAAAGTTGTTTTGTGGAAACATTTAAGAGCTAAACTTAAATGAAATCAACAAGATTTTTTTTCCGTGTTGGTAAATTATCATAGTTATGTACATTCTGCATGTAAATTAAGGTAAATAAAGTAAGAAAATGCCATTTTTATCACACTGAAAATATTGCAATACATATCGCAATACAGTTAAAAATATCGCAATATATCGCAATACGAAATCTCGGGTCAATACCCAGCCCTAATATTGGGTGACAAAGTGTAAAGGTTCTCACCATTGTTTGTTTTGGACTCGTCTTCTGAGTCACTAGCCGAGTTATCCGAGTCGCTGGATGAGTCACTACTGCTGCTGATAAATCCAATCCAACCTAAACAGAGAAAATACTATTATAATACATGTACAGGGTATAACTGCTGCTGATAAATCCAATCCAACCTAAACAGAGAAAATACTATTATAATACATGTACAGGGTATAACTGCTGCTGATAAATCCAATCCAACCTAAACAGAGAAAATACTATTATAATACAGGGTATAACTGCTGCTGATAAATCCAATCCAACCTAAACAGAGAAAATACTACTATAATACAGGGTATAACTGCTGCTGATAAATCCAATCCAACCTAAACAGAGAAAATACTATTATAATACAGGGTATAACTGCTGCTGATAAATCCAATCCAACCTAAACAGAGAAAATACAATTATAATACAGGGTATAACTGCTGCTGATAAATCCAATCCAACCTAAACAGAGAAAATACTATCATAATACAGGGTATAACTGCTGCTGATAAATCCAATCCAACCTAAACAGAGAAAATACTATTATAATACAGGGTATAACTGCTGCTGATAAATCCAATCCAACCTAAACAGAGAAAATACTACTATAATACATGTACAGGGTATAACTGCTGCTGATAAATCCAATCCAACCTAAACAGAGAAAATACTACTATAATACAGGGAATAACTGCTGCTGATAAATCCAATCCAACCTAAACAGAGAAAATACTATTATAATACAGGGTATAACTGCTGCTGATAAATCCGATCCAACCTAAACAGAGAAAATACTACTATAATACATGTACAGGGTATAACTGCTGCTGATAAATCCAATCCAACCTAAACAGAGAAAATACTACTATAATACAGGGAATAACTGCTGCTGATAAATCCAATCCAACCTAAACAGTGAAAATACTATTATAATACAGGGTATAACTGCTGCTTATAAATCCAATCCAACCTAAACAGAGAAAATACTATCATAATACAGGGTATAACTGCTGCTGATAAATCCAATCCAACCTAAACAGAGAAAATACAATTATAATACATGTACAGGGTATAACTGCTGCTGATAAATCCAATCCAACCTAAACAGAGAAAATACTACTATAATACATGTACAGGGTATAACTGCTGCTGATAAATCCAATCCAACCTAAACAGAGAAAATACAATTATAATACATGTACAGGGTATAACTGCTGCTGATAAATCCAATCCAACCTAAACAGAGAAAATACTATTATAATACATGTACAGGGTATAACTGCTGCTGATAAATCCAATCCAACCTAAACAGAGAAAATACTATTATAATACAGGGTATAACTGCTGCTGATAAATCCAATCCAACCTAAACAGAGAAAATACTACTATAATACAGGGTATAACTGCTGCTGATAAATCCAATCCAACCTAAACAGAGAAAATACTATTATAATACAGGGTATAACTGCTGCTGATAAATCCAATCCAACCTAAACAGAGAAAATACAATTATAATACAGGGTATAACTGCTGCTGATAAATCCAATCCAACCTAAACAGAGAAAATACTATCATAATACAGGGTATAACTGCTGCTGATAAATCCAATCCAACCTAAACAGAGAAAATACTATTATAATACAGGGTATAACTGCTGCTGATAAATCCAATCCAACCTAAACAGAGAAAATACTACTATAATACATGTACAGGGTATAACTGCTGCTGATAAATCCAATCCAACCTAAACAGAGAAAATACTACTATAATACAGGGAATAACTGCTGCTGATAAATCCAATCCAACCTAAACAGAGAAAATACTATTATAATACAGGGTATAACTGCTGCTGATAAATCCGATCCAACCTAAACAGAGAAAATACTATTATAATACATGTACAGGGTATAACTGCTGCTGATAAATCCAATCCAACCTAAACAGAGAAAATACTATTATAATACAGGGTATAACTGCTGCTGATAAATCCAATCCAACCTAAACAGAGAAAATACTACTATAATACAGGGTATAACTGCTGCTGATAAATCCAATCCAACCTAAACAGAGAAAATACTATTATAATACAGGGTATAACTGCTGCTGATAAATCCAATCCAACCTAAACAGAGAAAATACAATTATAATACAGGGTATAACTGCTGCTGATAAATCCAATCCAACCTAAACAGAGAAAATACTATCATAATACAGGGTATAACTGCTGCTGATAAATCCAATCCAACCTAAACAGAGAAAATACTATTATAATACAGGGTATAACTGCTGCTGATAAATCCAATCCAACCTAAACAGAGAAAATGCTACTATAATACATGTACAGGGTATAACTGCTGCTGATAAATCCAATCCAACCTAAACAGAGAAAATACTACTATAATACAGGGAATAACTGCTGCTGATAAATCCAATCCAACCTAAACAGAGAAAATACTATTATAATACAGGGTATAACTGCTGCTGATAAATCCAATCCAACCTAAACAGAGAAAATACTACTATAATACATGTACAGGGTATAAATGCTGCTGATAAATCCAATCCAACCTAAACAGAGAAAATACTACTATAATACAGGGAATAACTGCTGCTGATAAATCCAATCCAACCTAAACAGTGAAAATACTATTATAATACAGGGTATAACTGCTGCTTATAAATCCAATCCAACCTAAACAGAGAAAATACTATATAATACAGGGTATAACTGCTGCTGATAAATCCAATCATGTACAGGGTATAACTGCTGCTGATAAATCCAATCCAACCTAAACAGAGAAAATACATTATAATACAGGGTATAACTGCTGCTGATAAATCCAATCCAACCTAAACAGAGAAAATAACCTAAAATCCAATCCAACCTAAACAGAGAAAATACAATTATAATACATGTACAGGGTATAACTGCTGCTGATAAATCCAATCCAACCTAAACAGAGAAAATACAATTATAATACATGTACAGGGTATAACTGCTGCTGATAAATCCAATCCAACCTAAAGAGAAAATACTACTACTATAATAATGTACAGGGTATAACTGCTGCTGATAAATCCAATCCAACCTAAACAGAGAAAATACTAAATATAAATCCAATCCAACCTAAACAGAGAAAATACTACTATAATACAGGGAATAACTGCTGCTGATAAATCCAATCCAACCTAAACAGAGAAAATACTATTATAATACAGGGTATAACTGCTGCTGATAAATCCAATCCAACCTAAACAGAGAAAATACTATCATAATACAGGGTATAACTGCTGCTGATAAATCCAATCCAACCTAAACAGAGAAAATACATACAGGGTATAACTGCTGCTGATAAATCCAATCAAACCTAACGACAAATTGGCCACAGATTAAATTTTTTTAATACAGCTAAATAGGAATAGAATTAACATCACACAAAATCATCCTGATACTTTTTAGTTTTTTCTAGATTTGTATTATATAGGGTTATAGCTCGAGCTGCTGATAAATCCAATCCAACCTAAACAGAGAAAATACACTCGCAATTATCGGTAATACTTTATCAATACAGGGTATAACTGCTGCTGATAAATCCAATCCAACCTAAACAGAGAAAAAATACTAATAATACATGGCCGTACAGGGTATAACTGCTGCTGATAAATCCGATCCAACCTAAACAGAGAAAATACTATTATAATACAGGGTATAACTGCTGCTAATGAATCCAATCCAACCTAAACAGAGAAAATACTATTATAATACAGGGTATAACTGCTGCTGATAAATCCAATCCAACCTAAACAGAGAAAATACTATTAATACATATAACTGCTGCTGATAAATCCACAGGAAAATACAATTATAATACATGTATAACTGCTGCTGATAAATCCAATCCAACCTAAACAGAGAAAATACTACTATAATACATGTACAGGAATAACTGCTGCTGATAAATCCAATCCAACCTAAACAGAGAAAATACTATTATACATACAGGGTATAACTGCTGCTGATAAATCCAATCCAACCTAAACAGAGAAAATACTATCATAATACAGGGTATAACTGCTGCTGATAAATCCAATCCAACCTAAACAGAGAAAATACTATTATAATACAGGGTATAACTGCTGCTGATAAATCCAATCCAACCTAAACAGAGAAAATACTATTATAATACAGGGTATAACTTGCTGATGAATCCGATCCAACCTAAACAGAGAAAATACTATTATAATACAGGGTATAACTGCTGCTAATGAATCCGATCCAACCTAAACAGAGAAAATACTCCTATTATAATACAGGGTATAACTGCTGCTGATAAATCCAATCCAACCTAAACAGAGAAAATACTATTATAATGACAGGGTATAACTGCTGCTGATAGGAGAAAATGACTATTATAATACAGGGTATGCTTTTTAGTGATTGTTTTTGTTTTGTGTTGGTGATAAATCCAATTTTAAACAGAGAAAATACTATTATAATACAGGGTATAACTGCTGCTGATAAATCCAATCCAACCTAAACAGAGAAAATACTTATAATATATAACTGCTGCATGATAAATCCAATGATAACTGCTGCTGATAAATCCAATCCAACCTAAACAGAGAAAATACTAATATAATACAGGGTCTAACTGCTGCTGATAAATCCAATCCAACCTAAACAGAGAAAATACTATAATACCAGGGTATAACTGCTGCTGATAACCAATCCAGAGAAAATGAAAATATAACTGCTGCTGATAAATCCATGTGGTTAACTGAAAAGAAAATACTATTATAATACAGGGTATAACTGCTGCTGATAAATCCAATCCAACCTAAACAGAGAAAATACTACTATAATACAGTACAGGGTATAAATGCTGCTTATAAATCCAATCCAACCTAATCCTAGTAACTACTCTTATAATACTGGGTATAACTGCTGCTGATAAATCCAATCCAACCTAAACAGAGAAAATACATCATTATAATACAGGGGGTATAACTGCTACTGATAAATCCAATCCAACCTAAACAGAGAAAATACTACTATAATACAGGGTATAACTGCTGCTGATAAATCCAATCCAACCTAAACAGAGAAAATAATACTATAATACATGTACAGGGTATAACTGGTGCTGATAAATCCGATCCAACCTAAACAGAGAAAATACTATTATAATACAGAGTACAACTACTGCTGATAAATCTACTATAATACAGGGTATAACTGCTGCTGATAAATCCAATCCAACCTAGACAGAGAAAATACTACTATAATACAGGGTATAACTGCTGCTGATAAATCCAATCCAACCTAAACAGAGAATAATACTGATAAATATAATACAGAGAAAATACTATCATAATACAGGGTATAACTGCTGCTGATGAATCCGATCCAACCTAAACAGAGAAAATACTATTATAATACAGGGTATAACTGCTGCTGATGAATCCGATCCAACCTAAACAGAGAAACTACTATTATAATACAGGGTATAACTTGCTGATGAATCCGATCCAACCTAAACAGAGAAAATACTATTATAATACAGGGTATAACTGCTACTGATGAATCCGATCCAACCTAAACAGAGAAAATATAAATACAGGGAATAACTGCTGCTGATAAATCCAATCCAACCTAAACAGTGAAAATACTATTATAATACAGGGTATAACTGCTGCTTATAAATCCAATCCAACCTAAACAGAGAAAATACTATCATAATACAGGGTATAACTGCTGCTGATAAATCCAATCCAACCTAAACAGAAAACATACTATTACAGTCAAACCTGTTTTAAGAGGCCACTTGTGGGAGAACGACAAATTGGCCACATAAGACAGGTGGCCTCTTATTCCAGGTTTCAAACCATGGAATAAAAAATTGCAACCACGGTTGTATATTTATTTTCAAATGTATCCAAATCCACAATTTTAACATATTAAAAAACTAGGAAGTTTTAAGTCACATGAGATCCTTTTTCTGCATTTCATTTCACATGAATTTAGGAAAGAAATCTATTATAATTTTTTTAGTGTTGTTTTTGTTTTGTGTTGGTGATTTTATTTTTAACAGCTAAATAGGAATAGAATTAACATCACACAAAATCATGAAATGTTCTAACATAATACATGTAGCATTTCCCTGATGCTGTGCAAAGCTTTTTAGTTTTTTCTAGATTTGTATTATATAGGGTTATAGCTCGAGACTGACCACTTGACTTGATAACCTCAGACGAAATTGAAAAATATTATTATGTGTTGAGTTTATATAATGAATTGTGACATATTCAACAGCTGTTCATCAACTTACTTTCTTAAATAAAGAGTAAAAAAAATGTAAACAATAAATAATTTAATCATATTAATTAAATCATTAAATCCTGACAGAATTCAAATTACACTCGCAATTATCGGTAATTACTTCATTATCAGCTGTTTATGTTTGGCTTCTCGAGGATACGAGGTCACGTGCTCAGGCGGAAGTCATGTGACAAAACAGACAAAATGGCCGCTGAAAACAGGCATGTTGACTGCGCGGGACCTGAAAACACTGGCCACTGGCCGCGTTAGACAGGTGGCCGCTTAAATCAGTTAAAATATAGTGAAAAAATGAACGGGCGGGATTGAAACTGGCGGCTCATGAGGAGTGGCCGCTGATTAAGGGTGGCCGTAACAGCAGGTGCGACTGTATAATCAAGGAATAACTGCTGCTGATAAATCCAATCCAACCTAAACAGAGAAAATACTATCATAATACAGGGTATAACTGCTGCTGATAAATCCAATCCAACCTAAACAGAGAAAATACTATTATAATACAGGGTATAACTGCTGCTGATAAATCCAATCCAACCTAAACAGAGAAAATACTACTATAATACATGTACAGGGTATAACTGCTGCTGATAAATCCAATCCAACCTAAACAGAGAAAATACTACTATAATACAGGGAATAACTGCTGCTGATAAATCCAATCCAACCTAAACAGAGAAAATACTATTATAATACAGGGTATAACTGCTGCTGATAAATCCAATCCAACCTAAACAGAGAAAATACTACTATAATACATGTACAGGGTATAACTGCTGCTGATAAATCCAATCCAACCTAAACAGAGAAAATACTACTATAATACAGGGAATAACTGCTGCTGATAAATCCAATCCAACCTAAACAGTGAAAATACTATTATAATACAGGGTATAACTGCTGCTTATAAATCCAATCCAACCTAAACAGAGAAAATACTATCATAATACAGGGTATAACTGCTGCTGATAAATCCAATCCAACCTAAACAGAAAACATACTATTATAATCAAGGAATAACTGCTGCTGATAAATCCAATCCAACCTAAACAGAGAAAATACTATCATAATACAGGGTATAACTGCTGCTGATAAATCCAATCCAACCTAAACAGAGAAAATACTATCATAATACAGGGTATAACTGCTGCTGATAAATCCAATCCAACCTAAACAGAGAAAATATTATCATTATACAGGGTATAACTGCTGCTGATAAATCCAATCCAACCTAAACAGAAAACATACTATTATAATACAGGGTATAACTGCTGCTGATAAATCCAATCCAACCTAAAGAGAGAAAATACTACTATAATACATGTACAGGGTATAACTGCTGCTGATAAATCCAATCCAACCTAAACAGAGAAAATACTATTATAATACAGGGAATAACTGCTGCTGATAAATCTACTATAATACAGTAAACCATTTACATTTGCAAATGTTTGCCCTTATATGACACTATTTGAAAAAGGCGATTTTAGATATTAGTAAAACATGTTTCTCATGTGACCATAAATTGATTGTTTAGTTATAAGTGATCTACGTAATTTCATTGTGACGTCATAAGTGATCGACATGTTAAACACATTCAAATTATCCCTTTGAATTTTGAAAAAATGTAAATCTCTTATGGATTTAAAACTTCAGTGCCTTACTATTTTTAATAAAATCAGTCATCCAAATATAAATTTAAGCATGATAAGTAATAAGGTATCATTTTTTTAGTTTTATTGGGATGTTAAACGGGTTGGCACATGATCAAATCTTCCATTCAAATGAGATTTGATCACATGACCAACCTGTTTTACATCAAAATAAAATTCAAAAAAATGATACCTTATTTCTCTTAAGTAAACCTTGTAATATTTGATGAAAACAAGTCTGTCTTACTCTGTTCGGGTTTCTGGGAGTCCTCCGTTTTAGGCTCGTCGTGTACGGGGGTGACGGTCGGGGATTCTACCTGGGGGGTCGGGGGGCTGACGCTGATTGAAGACGAGGCCACGGCTTTCTGTTTGACTGGGGACCTCTTGTTGACATCCACAGGGGTCAAAGGTCGGCTGCTCTGGGATATTTTACTACTGCCCTCCATTCTGTTAAAACATAATATTATAAATGCAATACTGTTTATTCTTTATTTTTTGCGAGTACTTATTGTTGTGAATGGGCTCTTCAATGGCAAATCGTGAGAATTATAATTGATTTCGCAAATGGCCAACTGATCAAGAGATCTTACATAAATGTCATCACTAAAAAAAAACAATCAAGAAATTTTATTTCCCATGTGGTGCTTCTTGTGAAATTACCTGATAATTAATTTCACATGTATATTAGGAATCTACAATATTATTTTTAATTTTTTTAAATATTGTATTAAAGTGACAAGAAATAGAGGCATTTTCCTTTCTCTCTGTACTTGAAAGTTACAAATTGAACTCACTGAAAGAGATAAAATCAAAATAGTCAATTTACTTTATTCCTCCATCAATGTACTGGTTCATCATAGGCGCAATAAAAAAAAAATCAAAGTACTGTGAGTACTGAAAGACGGTGGCATGAATGATTTTGTTTATTTAACGTACATTTATTAAAAATAGAATAAAATTTTCAGCAGTGATAGATTTTTCTGGCTAGCAATTACTGCGACACGGGATCTTAATTTGAATTAAAGGCTAATATCCATGTCACGCAGTGGGAGTCGAATCTGCTACGTAAGGATGGACTTCTTCCAGTCCATTAGATAGAATGATCTATCGTTAAAATGATAAATGTCCTACGGACCCGGTGTAACGGCTTGTCCCGAGACACAGTTAGATTATTCTAACTACATGTACAAGTCTGTGAGTCCAAAGCGAACCCGCTACCGTTACGTCAGATGGCGACTTGCATTAAATAAGATAAAATGTTTTAAGTTTTTGTAAAATAAATTGGGAATTATTTAAAATTTTACTCCGATATTTCACAATATATCTACCTGTATTTTAATATAGAAATTTATATTTTGGACCAAAAATTAAATTGTAATGAATTCTTACTGTGATCTAGAATGTTTACGCACTATCTTAAGTACATTTGTCATCAAAAACACAGCAAACTTCAAATAGGTATATGCATTTATAAACAAACAATTGCAAATTATAAGATTTCATTTAATGTGTTACGGATGATAATGTCAAATTGTCTAAAGCAGCGTCAAGTTTCCTCTTTGATAAAAACACGTTGGGTAATTCCCACTTAAATCAAGAAATATCATTGATGCACAAATTTGAGTTTCCCTTAATTCTTCAAATAACAGTCAGAAACCAATATCGTGCACAAAAGGGGCCTGGTGAAGATTTATTAGTACTAAAGTTATGGATAAATATTTTTACTATCATTCAACTAAATATTAATCTTATACATATATTGGCTATCAACATACATTGTCAGCGCCTTTTTGCTATTTCTGTAACTGTTTGTTCTACCCTTGGATTTGATTAAAACGATTATCTTAGAAAACTCCCATTTCTATATAACACTAAAGAGGAAAAAACTGAACTGCTTTCTAGACCAAAATCTATTTAAGACTTTTATTTCGAAACAAAACTCGTATTATTTTCATAACCGGGGTTTTTATCGTGTGTAACATTAAAGCATGTTGATAAAGTTTTATTTTTTTGTCTAAAGTGTATCAAAAGAATTCAGATACATTAAGATATGATAAATAAATACTTGTTAAAAATTTCATATTGCAACGCCCACTATTTTACGAGAAAAACCCTTTGTACATGACAACCCTCGTATACTGCTCGAAAAAAGAGAAAAAAACAGAATAACAAAATATTTTTCTGTCTCTATTTTCCGTCGTCTCAGGCCTCGATCAGAGTCTGTATATATTATACGTATGGAGCTTTCCCCAGAATTGAATATCTTATACATTTTCGCCGTGGTTTGCGATGATGTTATTTCTCATACGCAATATTCTAATATGCAACGTCCCTGCGAGTCCCAGTGCATATTTACTGCTCGATGAACACACTAGAAGACTGACCGAAATTCAGCCCAAAGCCACATTCCTTTCTATGTGATTCAGCTAAAATCACATAAAAATCTTAGTACTAATATTAATTCATGCACTTGTATTTGAGTTCCTTTTTCGTATATTTTCGGTTAAATTTATTAGAGGCACGCTAGAGTATCTAATAAATAGGAATAAAATATATGGGTAAATTTTTTCCGTTATAGTCTTTGTAATTATAAATTTGACAAATTATACGTTAAGTCGTTTTTGTATCTGAGATAATCAAACAAAGTCTTATTTTCAAAAACTAGAATGATGATAAACTTAGCAAATTTTATGGCATCATATACCTCCAACAACCGTCACTATGAACTGATTAAGATGTAGTGATCTCTTTTCTTCTTTCCTAAAATACATATCTTCGTTTTACTAATATAGCATTGAAAACAGATACAAGAAACAGCCAAAAGACTTTGTTAAATTACATCAATCTATTCAAGTTTTATTGTAAAAAAAAATCCACAAAGCAGTATTTCAGTAAAAAACAGCCGTGTGTTGTTTAGCAATTATTTATTACTAGCATTTGATTTCAGAGTTATATTTTTCAACAAATATTCGGTAATTTAAAGAAACACAACGTGCATAGAAAAATGATTTTTCCAACATGTGAGAAAAAACAAGAAAATTGTGTACGACTTGACATGTGTAGTTTGCACATGAATATACGAGTCGGTTGGTGTACGAGTTAGTTTAGTTCAGTGTAATGAATATTCATGAGGCGACAAATACTGATAACGCCAATTATCAGGAGTTAGGCTTTGTATCCATCAACGAAATGTCTTTAAAATAACTTCAATGTATTTGTTACCTATGTACATTTTATTTTCAAACATCGAAATCAGTCTACTTTCATTATTTTGACTTTGCAAAAATCGCCGCTAGGGTCCCCGTGTGTTTACACTGACCAGCAGCTATAGACTGTGGCTATAAATAGCCACCGTCTAATCATGTGCAGGGCTGTCAAATAGCTAGACAGAAGCAGCCTTGCTTATTGGCGGAATCAAGAGCAGCCATGTAAATATATAAAGAATAACTGTCTTATTTTTCGATTTCATGACGATGATTTATCGATTGGCCTGCGTGATAATTTTATGCCTTTGGCATTTATGCTAATTATCAAGCAAGCCAGTGGATTGATAACATCATGAAATCAAAACTCAGACAGTTATTCCTTAATGATTTTAGACAAACCTGGTCTTTTTTAAGTTGACGGTGTTGGAGAGTCGCTCCAGAGTGAATGCCCCTGTCTGATGGTCTATAATTAGAACGCATTCTTTAGGACTCGGCCGCTTGTTGCCTTTGTACATGGTGTGTGAAGTACCAGAACCCTACAAGGCGGAGATCAATTGTCCAAGTTTCATATATATCAATGAGAAAAGCTGATGTGATACATGTATGTTGAACAATGATATCTTAAACAGATATATAGGATACTGATTTCTCGCATAATCACCAGTGAAAGATTGACTTGTCCGGTGTGAGACAGCAGTGTGAGATTTTTCTGTCTTACACTGTGTATTACTACGCCACGAACGAGAACGTAAACATCCCGTCATTATATAAAGAAACTGTATCAAAGTAAAAAAATATAACACACAATTAAGCTGTTGTCATTTAACTTATTAATATAAACTTATATTTCATTCAAAATATTGTCGTGTTTTCACATTTTAATGGCACTATTTTTATATTGCGGAATGATTCTTCTTTTACGCTGTCGGATAGATAAGATTTTTATTCCCAGTTTTTATCTTTCTGATTAATTTACACGGACTGAAAATTATTTTATCAGTTTACACTGCGTGTAAACCATTTTCAGGTACGTTCTCTCCGATGGTGTATTCAGCTTTTAAATTAGATGGAAAATTAAAAATATTTTTTTAGCCCCATCATGGCGACGTCATTGACAGGCCGTTATTTTCGATAAAATAATGCGAGAAAAATAATCATTCATTACATACTCATGTGGGAATAGTGAAATTCCACCTCGGGGCCAAGATTCACGGTCTAGGACTCGGCAAAGCCTCGTCCTAGACTGTGAATCTTGTCCCCTCGGTGGAATTTCATTATCCCACACTCGTAGTAATGAATGATTCTATTAATCTCTTTAATATCTGATACATAAAAGACTGATCTTAAAGACTGAAAAACTCAAATACTGATATCTTAAATATTAATGATTTCTGAGTGACTGATTTCACAAATGCCTTGGAAAAAAGCCTTACCTTCTATCACGTTTTTTTTACCCTCACCCAAACATCGCTTATATTTCTGAATTCAAGACAGTAACCATGTTTTCTTTATATATATAGAACTGATATGTTTATCTTGATGTACAGTCTATATATGGAAGTGGCATTTTTATCTTGACGTAGTGTATATATAATATAAAAGAAACATATTTACATTGATTAGTCTATATATAGAAGTGTCATCTTTACCTCGACATAGTCTATATATTTAGAAGTGTCATCTTTACCTCAACGTATTCTATATTTAGAAGTGTCATCTTTACCTCGACGTAGTCTATATTTAGAAGTGTCATCTTTACCTCAACGTATTCTATATTTAGAAGTGTCATCTTTACCTCGACGTAGTCTATATTTAGAAGTGTCATCTTTACCTCGACATAGTCTATATTTAGAAGTGTCACCTTTACCTCGATGTAGTCTATATTTAGAAGTGTCATCTTTACCTCGACATAGTCTATATTTAGAAGTGTCATCTTTACCTCGACGTAGTCTATATTTAGAAGTGTCATCTTTACCTCGATGTAGTCTATATTTAGAAGTGTCATCTTTACCTCGACATAGACTATATTTAGAAGTGTTATCTTTACCTCGACGTAGTCTTTATTTAGAAGTGTCACCTTTACCTCGATGTAGTCTATATTTAGAAGTGTCATCTTTACCTCGACATAGTCTATATTTAGAAGTGTCATCTTTACCTCGACGTAGTCTATATTTAGAAGTGTCATCTTTACCTCGATGTAGTCTATATTTAGAAGTGTCATCTTTACCTCGACATAGTCTATATTTAGAAGTGTTATCTTTACCTCGACGTAGTTTATAAATAGAAGTGTATTGTTTACCTCGACTTAGTCTATAAATAGAAGTGTCATGTTTACCTCGACATGGGGCAGTCCCACTGTCACCTGGTGCCCCTCCCCGACATCCAC